ACTCGGAGCTTTTCATCGGATATCCGATTCGATTCGATTGAGCAATTTCGAATCAAATATCCAATTCGATCTGATTCGAATATCACCAATTTAACCTGTAACCTATGCATTATTAACAATTTAACACACTTCTAAGCATAAATTTAACTTGTAAATTTTCACCAATTTAACTTACACTTAACACAAATTTAACCTGTAAAATTTCAGCAATTTAACCTCTTAATTATCAACAATTTAACATTGACTTCTAACATAAATTTAACTTGAAAATTTCACAATTTTAGCAATTTAACATGTGAGCTTTTCAACAAATTAACCTGTGAATAATAAGCAATTTAACCTGTAATTTTCAGCAATTTAAGATAAACTTCTAGCACAAAAAAAAACAATTTAATATTCATACACAAAAAAAAAACAATTTAATATTCATACACAAAAAAGAAAAAACAAATACACTTATATACAAACCTAAACGGCTAAACAAAATCTGATTCGAACAAACCTAAATGGCTAAACCTATTCCATATGATAATACTCATAGAAAAGGGAATGGGAAAAAAAAATAGAAGATGGGGGAAGAAAGATTACCGGCAGCGCTGTTGAGTCATGAATGGCTGAATGCAAGGCAACTAATGACTAGCAATGGTCAAGATTGAACCAAACGGGCGAACGACAAGTTGGCAAGTCGCAACCTACGACCATTCACTAGTGATGGTGGCAGGCAACAACACAGTGGCATGGGACGGCTAGGGTTCTTCGCCTTCTTCTCACTTTCACTCTTTCAGTTGTTCAGAAGTTAGAAGAGAGGAAGAGTCTAGGGTATTCGGACTCCACTTTTTAGTTTTTACTTTTGTTAGATAGGACCTCTTTTTTAAATTTACAATTTTAGACCTATGTAATTAATTAAATTACATTATATTATTTTAAAACAAAATAGTAAAACAGGGTATAAATGTCTTTTTATAATAATTATAAAAAATAATATTATATATATATGAATAGACCTGTTCATGGGCCGGGTGGCCTGATGGGCCGGCCCGGCCCCCATACGGGCTTGAACGTGGTTATAGGCCCACAGGCTTAAATTTGGGCCAAAAAGTCCGGCCTGCAATAAATTCGAGTCGGGCTCGGGTTTTGTCAAAATAGCTCGGCCTGAGCCCGGCCCGGCCCGGCCTAATATTAGACTTAAAGTGAGTAATGTGATTATGTCCATTTAAATAAATTTTTTTTATTTAAGAATGTAAAACTGTGTTTTAAAATATAAAAGAAAGGGGAAAAAAATCATCTTGTAGGCCCACTGTTCATTTAAATAGGAAAAAAAACTATCTAGATTTTTAATTCTAATTTGAATAGGGAAATTTGTTTTTTTTTTATTAGGTCAGGCTTTGGACTCGGGCTCGGGCGTAGCATATTTCCCTTAATGACAAATGAAAACCCGGTCCGAGCCCGGCCCGGTTCAGCCCATAAACAGGTCTATATATAAAGGGTCAGATTGGATTGGATCTTTTCGGATCGAATCAAGGAGTGATTTGAATTTGATCTGAATTCCAAACGGATCCGATTTTATGATCCAATCCGATTCGAAAGTCCGGAGAGGGGGTATCCCACTAATTTCAGATTGGATTCCGAATCGGATCGTATTAGAATCCGATCCATTTGCACCCCTATTTCGTTATCCTCGGTCATCATAGCAATTTGATGATACTCTTCTGTTTGATTTTTTTTTTCCCTTTTCAAGCTATTACCTTGATTTCATATACTTAGATATGCCATTTATTAACATCATTTATATATAATAAAAAGTAAGAGTCCAGTTTAGCCTTATGTGGTCTATTTTATTTAAAGCTATTTATTCTTAAATTATTGGTGCTTAAATATTTTTTACTATTTCTACGTATATTTTTGTTAGTCGATCTCTAGTCTTTCTAATAACCAGGTACTGTTCATGATTTTCTATGCACACGTGAACCATTTTAGTCTATTTTCTTTCACTTTATTACTTATTAGAGTTATTTATAAAAAAATGTAAGTCCAATCATAGTACCAAAAAGGCATGATACCTAAAAAATTAATAAACCAATCAAAATGGTATCCATAAAATTTGATCGGGCCGGGTTCGACTATAATATGGAAAAGATATGATATCTGAAAAACAATTGACCAATAAATTGGATTATTAAATGTGGTAGCGAATAAGGTATTGTTTATCAGAATTCATGGATGGATTTTGATTGGTCAAAACTCTTTCCATACCATAATTTTCCCATATCATAGATTTTTCCAGGTAAAAGAACAACTCATTAATAGGCCCGAAATAGTCTTTAATGGGCTAGTTACTGCCTGAAAATATTATAAGGGCTGTACCTGGTTCTGGACTTTTTATTGCATCTGGGCCCAGGCCTGACTAATATGCCTGAAATGGTCTTTAATGGGCCAGGTACTGCCTGAAAATATTATTAGGGCTGGAGGACTTTTATATTGCATTTGGGCCTGGGCCTGACTTTAAGGTAGGGGTGCTGATGGACCAGTTTTGGATTGGACCCCAACCAAAATCAATTTGGATGGATTGGACGGACCAACAAGATATATTGAATTGTATCAGTCCAGACTTAATAGTCCAAAATATTTATTCGGTTGAATTGGACCTGTTCCATCATAATGAATTTATATTGGATTGAGTCAATATTTGGTCCATTAATAGAAGATAAGAATGTAAGTGTCAATGAACCAGGTTTGAATTAAAATTAATTTAAATGGAAACAAGTTTGAACATATTAGATGATCCAAACATTAAGATGAACCGATCCAAATATTTATTAGGTTGAATTAGACCTGATTTATTTGTGATGGACTCACATTGGACTGGATCGGATTGGATCAAATCCAATCCAATTGACAGCCCTACTTTTGGATTTAGGAACATACAATTAGACTTGGCCTGGGCTTAGCACGGCCCGGCTCAAGTAACTCCCCATTTTGTGGGGTGAATTCTGAATAGCCTGCATTTGTAGTGGTAATAATCCCAAAGCCAATCATGGTGCATCATGCCAACTCTGTATCACATGGGTCCCACATTTTAGGCTGTCAACAAGTCCTCCCTGAATCACACAAAGAGAGCCCTATGATCAGCCCAAAGTTTTCTCGCAAAACTGGTGGTACTATGATCATCTTGGTCAAATCAAATGGCTATAATCGCCCGATCATGGAAGTGGGTAACAGGTAGGCGTGGGCCATGTTTAAGAGGGGCGGCGCTTAATATTTATTACTTTTTTCTTATAGTGAACAAACGGCGCTTAATGATAGAAATTGGTCTTGATTAGTTGATTACCAAAATCGATTAACAAGCAACCCTCTTTGTTGTAATGGTTAATGACTAAAATACCCCTGATGAGTGATGAGCGACAAAAGAAAGAAGCTTCACCTCACCACCCACTCCAAGAGTCCAACTGCCCCAAGCAAGCGTTAAAATAAAACTCCAAACGAGGACAGCCACCAGCACCAACACCGAGTCCTCCTCCTCCTCCTCCAGATTCCACCAAATTCAACCATACACCATTCTTCTTTCTTCCTTCTAATTTTTAGTCAAACCTTTGTAGCAGCACACTCCGTCAAACAGTTTCCGATCTGCTTTGCTTATTGCTTATTACATTCACCCAGCCGTACGTCGGGAATATCAGCAGATCCGAATTCCCTCAATCTCGATGGCTTTGATGAAACGGCCCTTGCCTTATAAAAAAAAAGGAGGGTTTGAGCTAACAAGTGCATGAGAATATAGTTTTCTTTTATGAGCAATAAATATATCCCTACAATCTATTTATTTCTCTTAGCCACTCAAATCCAAACTTATTTAATTCTTTTCCACTTCTTAAAGCAAGATCTGATTGAGATTTTTTTTCTCTTATATTACCATTAAAACAATTTGGTAAATTGTCGAAACTTCTCCTAAAATTTGATAATTATAATTATTTACCCTGAATTTTTTAGTACAGTTGCAAGTAGACCCTTTTCCTTAGAATCCTTTAATAAGAGGCACAAAAATGTCCTAAATATCTATGCAATTTCTATTGAGGCTACTTTATAAACAACGAAAAAATAAAGAATTTAAAGTAGCAGTTTTACCTTTAAGAAATTGATATGGAGGGCAAATTTAAAAAAGAGATTGGAAAGTTTGAACTAGCATTATGATGAAGAGAAACTTTAGAAAATAAACATTTTGATCAAAAGTAACTAGATGAATATTTTAGACAATTTTATGCTTCTTTTAGAAGATTATAATAAAAGGGGTCTATTTGCAAGTTGCAACTATGTTAAAAAAGTTCAAGAGACAAATTTCAAGAGAAGTTTAAGCAATGGTTAGAAACTTTAGGATAAATTTCAACAATTTACCTTTATAATAATAATAATAATTAATTACTAATAAAATTTAAAATAAAGATATTTTAGCTATTGTTGATGTTGTATGAAGAAGTAAATGACTTTGAAGGTAGGTGCCATGTGTAAACTTGTTAACAACACCCACTCAATAAAAACAAAAAGAAAGAAAGAAAAAAAGAAAGACCCATTTTGAATTTTAACTATAGTTGGAAATTGGTTGATTTGGAATTAAGAATTTAGTTGCTACAATTTTTATTCCATTCTTGGTTGAATTTAAAAATAGTAGTTGTATTTTGTCAAGAGTTGACAAATGACAACTGGCACTAGGTGAGGGAGGATATCGGAACAAGCACCCAAAATTCCTCAAGGAGGAAAGCGGAATGTAATGTTTGTTTTGTCCTTTATTGGTCATAAAAAGTTAATAAGGGACCTTTTAGCTTTTTTTAAATTTTAGTTTTAGTGTTTAGGGCACCATTTAGGGCGCCAACAAATCTTAAGGGTATAAATAAGAAAATCCTTATTCTGACTGCGATGCCACGTGGTCTATTTGCATACTCGGGTTAAGTCCAGACGAAGAAAGAAAAAGAATAAAATAATAAAAGAAGACTTGCAAAAAAAAAAATTGATTAAACTCCTTTATTTTTTTCTCCTGAGCAGAGCCGAGAACGATTGATGATTCATTGTATTTTCAAGCCTCTCTGGCACAAATCAAGGAAGCTCGGATTCGGACAGACCACCGTCTCCGGTGCATGCCCTATCCTGCGCACTCCATTTGCTTATCCTACACATTTTGGCTGACTTCGGCTGCTGCTCCGGCTCATCTACTCAATTAGTCAAGTAAAACAAAAGACTCTCTCTGTCTCTCGGTGTGGTTTGAGGGAGAGAAAGCTAAAGCATAAAAAACAGTCGAGAAAAGGTGAGATTTTTGCCCTAGGATTTCGGGTTTAGATCGATCCTAGGCACTTCTGCTTCCTATTCTTGTAGTTTTTTTTTTTTTTTTTATTTAGTTTCTTTCCAGTTTATGTGAAATTACTTTAAGAAGACAAAAGATAAGCATTCTATGTTTGATCTTCAACTCATTCTTGTTTCTTTGAACTACATATACTTGTTTCTGGGTTTGTTTTATTGATTTCATGAGCGGTGAATGATTTGCTTGGTGTCTGTGCTGTTGTTTTTCTTTGCTTATGATCAATTATTCTTTGGTATTTGTTTAATTGGAGCAATCTGTATACTAGAGAGAAAAAGAGAGAAAGAGAATGGCTTGATTGGATGCCATTCAATAATCAGCTGAGAGATCCAATAAGATTGCTGAATCCAGATTATCGAGTTCACTTGACTTCTGTAACGAGTAATTTTCTTGGTGGAATTTCATGACAAGCACCTTTTGTCACTATACTCTTTAGCTGTTCCAGATGAAGGAGTGGCATATATTGTGTGAATTAGCTTTGATGATAAAATGATTTTTAAATTTTCTTCTGCGTGATTTTCGCGAGAGGGGCTAATGTTTCTGGATGTAAGTCATTTTTCACTCAATCAACAATTGTGTTTAGACAGGAATGAAAGTTATAAACCACTGCAAGATTTATGCAAGTTCTTTTTATCATTTAGAATAAGCATCACATAGTTCTGTACTACAAATTATCAAATGCCAGAGCAACAGATTCTCTGAAGTATCATCCTTTCCATACTGATGTAAGCATGGTTTATCAGGAAGAAGAAATGAAAATTATAAACAACTTGGAGCTATTTTACACAAAATGCACCAATCTGTTTGTGTTATGTGCTTAAAACATATATAACTATGTTGTTCTTCACCATTAAAGTTCAATCCTAGCATTCGATGCTTACCACATAGTCTCAACATGTCTACCTATTTGTTTTCTTTTCTTGGCTGAAATTGGCATTCTGAACACTGATGATGTTAACTTTTCTCATTAAGGTCCATTTCTTGGTCTGATTATGATGCTTTATGAGAATGCTTCCCTTACTAACCTAAACCAAATATTTATTGCCTCAGAAAGAGAATCATGAGCTGTTTCAGCTGCTGTGAAGAAGATGAAATCCACAAGGCTGCCAATAGCGGAGCCCCATTTGTGGCAAATGATGCAGCAGGTAATGCACTATGCCTAACCTGTAGTTTCTCAAAACTGATATATGGGCCTCTGGGCTCTGGCTATGTTGCATTATCTATTCTAGATGAAATGAAAATACAGGGCCAACTTTCTGGGCTTCGTTTAAATTGTCTTTGTTTTCTCCAGCAAGTTTTGGAGAGAGGTTCTAATCTCCCCTTCGTATTAGTTACAGTCATTGAAGTACTTCTCTTTATGTGTTTCTATTAATAGGTTCTTGCTTAATTCTTCCTTGAACCAAATCCCAAGATTCATGCTTGCTGTTATACGGCCCCTATATTGATGATATTTATGTTTCGTATGCTCCATAAACATGAAACTGAAAAGTTTTTTTGCAATTGTAGGCAATGGTGGAGGTTACCATGCCACTGAAGCAGCACCTAAGGGTACTCAGCCTGTAAAAGTCCAGCCTATTGCAGTCCCTGCCATTTCAGTCGATGAACTGAAGGAAGTGACAGACAACTTTGGAACAAAGGCTTTAATAGGAGAGGGCTCATATGGAAGAGTATATTATGGTCTTCTGAAAGATGGAAGAGCTGCTGCTATCAAGAAGTTAGATGCCAGTAAGCAGCCAGATCAAGAATTTTTAGCACAGGTTAGATTTTCTAGTGCACATTGGTGTTCTGTTCTTTGTTTTTTTTTTTTTTCAATTCATGTCAATTTATCATCATACTATTACTTTTACAGGTTTCCATGGTATCAAGGCTGAAACATGAGAATGTTGTTGAGATGCTTGGTTATTGTGTTGATGGAAGCCTTCGTGTCCTTGCATATGAATTTGCTACCATGGGATCTCTTCATGATATTCTTCATGGTAAATAGTCTCAAATTTTAATAGTACTCTTTCACATTCCTAAATTCCTATGTAATTGATAGCTGCAATGTTTTAAAGGGTGAAGTCATGAGGTAAGGAATTAGGACCCTTGTACATGTTGGATAAAGCCTATGGGCATGAGACAGGTGCTATATTTAAAAGAGAGTAGTTTTACTTCCCTTTACTTAAGCATCACACATTCCTAGTGATACACATTGGAAAATGAATTTGGACCGCCACTTTAGAGTTTACACTTGATCCATATTTATTGGACTAAAATACACAAAACATGCAAAAGAAATGATGCCTGTGCACACTAAAGAAACCAACATTTAGTTATTTTGCCTATACCATTTGACTATTTATGCCCAATCTTGTTCCTTTTCTTGTAGTGGCAAATGTTTTTCTTTGAGAGCGTTAAATAGTGCCCATTTGAAAGGGGCGGGGGGCTTTCATGCAGTGGCTTCTGGTTTTCCAATGTGGCCCTACATGGGAAGCCTAGAAGCTATATTTGGTAAAGACCTGGAAAAAATGCGCTTTAATTCAGCTTAGGAATTGACTTTCCAGTGAAGGTAGTTTCAGTGGCTTCTTCAAAATGGTTCAGTCAATGCAGCTCAATCAAAGCTTAAGCCCTCCCAAACTGATTCATAAATTCCTGCAAAGTTGCTTAGTTCTTTAAGCTTAGGAAGAACGTTTGGACAGGGCCTTGTCATTTTGAATTCCAGAAATAGTTTATGGATGGCCCCTGATATTGCATGTTTTTTATTTATGAATGAGCCATGAGATATTTCTCTCACTGAGATTTGATGTATCGCTGACATGCCAGGATTTCTTAATGATAATGCTTCAACTTGTTGATGTTGACATGATGATATTTTTCCTAATCTGCAGTACTTCCTGTCTAGTTACTGAAGATGATTCACAAATGAGCTGTGAAAGTTCATAGAACTGGCATGAGACTGAATATTAACAAACTTATTTCAGATACATGATTGTTCTCCTAGTTTTATCTGTTTCCACAAGTTATATCTCATTTGTAAGCTTGATGATGGATGTAATGCTATGTATGGTTTCCTGTAGGGAGAAAAGGTGTCAAAGGAGCACAACCAGGACCAGTTCTATCATGGGCACAACGGGTAAAAATTGCAGTAGGAGCTGCCAAAGGACTTGAATACTTGCATGAAAAGGCACAGCCTCCCATCATTCATCGTGACATCAAGTCCAGCAATGTATTACTTTTTGATGATGATGTTGCTAAGATTGCTGATTTTGATTTGTCAAACCAAGCCCCTGACATGGCAGCCCGCCTTCATTCCACCCGTGTTCTTGGAACTTTTGGTTATCATGCTCCAGAGTAAGACCTCTAAGGGCTTTGGACTAGATAGTTATTATTTTCAATTTTTCTTACATATCATTTTCAATTTTCTTTCAGTATTAAAAGTTTGGAAACCATACAGTTCTCATTAGATGGCTCGTATGATTTTCAACAAGGGGATCACCAATTGCTGTTGCCTACCTAGGATGTGTCCTAGATGTTTACACCAAAAGTTCACTGACCAGATTAGTGTAACTATCCACATGTCCACTCCACTAAGAGGACATATTGTACATAGATGCACACATGTATGTCTCTTTTTATGAATGTGATTCGGTGATCAGGGTAAAATGGAAAACCAATAAATGGTAAGTCAATTGCTCAAGTTCTATCCTTAAAAGATCAGGTCCATTCACTGCACATGAACATTGTATGTTGGTACTTGCTCGTAGCATTTTCTGGTGTAAAACCATTAACTTAAGTCTCTAGTACCTATATGATTGCTATCCTGTATCTGAATCAAACTTTAGCTCCTTCACGGCTTCACGGAAGGAAGAAAAGCCTCCTTCTGAACTTGGGTAACAAAGCCATTCTACCCATGTATGAAAGAATTTTAAACTTCACATAATATGGATTATGTGGTGGCATTTTCCACCAGCCAATGGTCTTCCCCCACTTCCATTAAGGAGCTTTGGCGTTGATTCCTCGTATCCTGAAAATGTAAGTTTTACATAAGATTTTCTGATTGTGGGTGCCAGATATGCGATGACTGGACAGCTTAGTTCAAAGAGTGATGTTTACAGCTTTGGCGTTGTTGTGCTGGAGCTCTTGACTGGGCGTAAGCCTGTTGACCATACGCTACCACGGGGACAACAGAGTCTTGTGACATGGGTACAAACTTCTAGTTGACCTTTCTGTCTAGAATTCCTGAAGAGTCAAATCATGCTTTGTTTTTCAAGTTTTGGAACTGAAATCTTCTTTTAATAACATGACGTTTCCTGGAAATCTTAAATGTATTAGGCCACACCAAGACTTAGTGAAGACAAGGTGAGGCAGTGTGTTGATGCAAGACTAGGTGGAGACTACCCTCCCAAGGCTGCTGCTAAGGTAATATCTATGCTTAAAGTGAACAAATTAGATTGTGCTTCCTTCCAGTGAAACTGACTGTTAACCTTGGTAGTATAAGAAGGGAATGATTGATAGACCTATATAAAGCCCACTCAGAATATTCATTCTCAAGTCTGAATTGATGAAGAGATTTGCAAGTTTTTATTCACTATTACATCCTTTCAGTTGCACTTTCAGCAGTATGCTTACACAAGTGATTTTACCTCATCAACTTAATGTTTTGAATTTTTAAAGGATACCTGAGAAATGAGTAAATGCAGATCCATATTTATAATATTTTGACTACAAAAAAAATCTTATATTTGTATTGGGCATTTTGTAATCCCATCTTGTATTCGATACAGATGGCTGCTGTAGCTGCGTTATGCGTGCAATATGAAGCTGATTTTAGACCCAACATGAGCATTGTGGTTAAAGCTCTCCAGCCACTGTTAAATGCTCGGTCTGGACCGCCTGGTGAAACCCCAAACTTGTGATCTCTCTATCTCTCTCTCTCTCTCTCGTTAGTTGGGGCCAGATTATGGAGGTGGTTTTGTAACAGGGTGGTTGTAAGTTGTGCCAACATTCTATACACTTCAATTATTTAATTTTCAAATTTTTCCGGGTTTATTTTTTTTGAAAAAGCATGTAAAATCTTATCACCAACCTACTGTGGAAGTATTTTTTTTTTATTATGGTGGCATTCCGCTTTTTCATCAGAGAATCCTGTTCTTGTCTCCTCGTATTCAACTATTCCTTAATCGAGACCATATCCACTCTCGAAATGGCCTTTACCAAAGATAGCAAGATTTTTTTTTTTTTAAACACTAGTGGGCTAAATGGTAAGATGATCTTTTTCCTTGGGAAGATACTATAGCTTGAACATTTGAGTTGTAAACTGCTAATACAATGTTTTTTTTGGTCATTCTTTTTTCTTTTCCAAAAGAATCATAATCTGGTCTTATGATTTTTAGGCTGCGTTTAGAAATGAGGCAAATGAAGCATAAATCTCGGTTCAAGATAAATTTATACTCTGGTTCACTTTTGTTTTTGTTTGGTAAAATTACATTTATTGTATTGACAAATGACAGAAAACATATTTTCTAATGCATATTTACATTGATAATAAGATGTAGAAGTATATCAATAAAAAAGAAGAAAATTTGCATTCAAGCAGGCTTTTGATAAAAAAAGATATGCTTTATTGGAATTTGTGTTTGTAACCATTACAACTAAAAATCTGTTTGGTAAGAAGGTAAATTTGTCGGTGCAAATTAATCCAACTTTGCAATTTATATGGACCGTTTTACATTCTACACATTTGTATTCACACTTATTTGTATCGTTTCCGATTCCAACTGTTTGAAATACTTCGACTGCAAGCCAAATGGACTTTTACGGATGAACCCTTGGTGAAAAATTTTGCTTAAAAAGTTATGGTTCATTATATTATAAAACCAAATCGATAATGTTCATAATGAAGATTCAATCGAAGTTTCCTATATCCTTCAAAACTCGGTCAGTACTGTGTTCTGGATTTGGGTTAATCGCAGTACTCCTGGGGCCAGCTGGAGGCTCCATCTGAGTTTTATATAGGCGTGATTTGTCCTGAGAGAGAGGGGCATCCCTTTTTGTATGCTGCCAAGACGTGTTTGGTTGCAATGCAAATAAATTTGCACTAATGCAAAATTATGGCAATGCAAAAGATTTGACTATAAATTTTGGCTTATTTTTATTTCAGATTTGAGCTTATTTTGTTTGATTGCAGTACAAATAAAATAAATTTAGACATGAAGCGGATAAAAGTAAAACCCAAAACAAAATTAAATGAAAATTTACATTTTTTTCATTTGCACTCCTATACATTTGCACTAATGCAAATAAAATTGCACTTCAACCAAACACAGTCAAAGACTCGGTTTAGAAAGAGTACAAATACAAATATGTACAATATAAAATATAAGGTTTTGCACTCCACATATTTGTATTTGCATTCCTTCCAAACTAAGCCTAAAGCTTCCACAAATGAAACCAAAAAATACCAAATACAAGTTTGACGAAGCGATACATCCATGGGATTCAGCAAGCAGGTCTTGCAATAGGCGGATCGCTGTCTGACAATCCCTATAGATAAAGCATTTGCCTTTTAGGGTTGAGGCGACCTCAATTGCCATAAACAAAGCTTCAGCTTCCACTGATTCTGCATTTGGGTCCACTGAGTTATTTTCTTCTAGCTAGAACGAAATTGCCATCCTTGTTCAGTACCGGTGCACAGTACCACACAAGCTGCTGTTGCTGCCAATCGCTCCTTAAAAGCTCCATCAAACATAATATGGTAATCCCATTCAGATTCAGCAGTAATAGATTCCGCCTCTGCAAAACTCTCTCCCCCCTGAATGATCTCTTCCATAGTACACTGAGATCGCCTGTATTTCTGTAATAGCCCTGTGAACATGTGTAAGTGTCCATCGGGCTGAACTCCTTCAAATATTAAGGGCCCATTTGGTTCACAGTTGGAATCAGAATCAAAATCAAAATTCTCCAAAATCAGAATCGGAATGATTCATTCCTATAGTCTGTTTGGTTCAGACAGAATGGGATTTCATTCCAAGAGGAAGGGGCAGGAAATGGCCATTCCCTCAAATGGAAGAATGCTATTCCAGCAGGAATGAGAATGAAATTCTGATTCCATTCAAGCAAACAGATATAATCGAAATAACCCATTCCGATTCTAATTCCAAAGCCCTATATTTACAAACCAAATGAGGCCTTAGTTTCTTTCTAGCATTCCACAGTGACCACAAGATCACCACCTTTGCAACCTAGTAATTCCAATCATAAATCTCTCACTTCCTCCATTAGCCATTGTCATTCTATTTACCACCTGCGTGACATGACATTAACAACACAAGGTGGAACATGAGGGGTGCTACTAAAAGACAGTGCAAATTTGCTCCTCTTCTCCACGGTTTCGAAAGGCAGTGCAGATCTTTAGAAGCGATTTTTTTTTTATTTAATCTTTGTGTTAGAGCTATGATGAGGGCAGATTTGGCCCTCCAGTGAAATTGCGACACGTGGTACCTTGTGACAACTAGGCAAGCCCCCAGGCAACAACTTACCAAGTTGGTCCCCCCCCCCGGGCACCGGTCTGGCTGGCCTGGCGCGACCTGTGCGGCCTACGCGACCTGGCCGGATCAGCCTGCCACACGCACCGACCTGGCAATCTGGCCCAGACACAGGCGCCGACCTGGCAATCTGGCCCGGACACAGGCGCCAACCTGACAACATGGCTCGGACACAGGCACCGACCTGGCAATCTGGCCCAGACACAGGCTCCGACCTGACAACATGACCCGGACACAGGCGCCAACCTGATGACCTGACCCGGACACAGGCGCCGACCTGGCAACCTGGCCGGACAC